ATATTCAAAATCCGATATCCAACATCACATTAGAACACAGCAATTTCAAGAAATACTAACACAAATGGATACAATACAACGACAATCAATCGACCAAAATTTAAGAAAACTTGCCGAAACCGCAGGATTTGCAGACATTTATACACAAGACTACAGCGGATATTTTAAGGATATATAAGATAAAATACATTTAAACGGTGAAAAAAACCGACCATAAGATATCTCACCTACAAATATTTTTAGCTTTGTTACACTAAAAAAAGAAATTCTTGATTTTCTAGGATGGCCCTATTACATCTTAGAAAAATTGACTATTCTATACGCAATGTTTAACTTTATAGGATTTCTTTCTTCACTTTTAAAAGGAATCTATAATACTTGCGCTATACATACACAAGTAAATAGACAAGCAAGTGTAGCACGCATACTATTTGCAGGATTTTTGGAATTTTTTCATCGTCAATAAACAAAATTCTTTTAGACGCACAAATAAAAGAATACAATACAAAAATAGCGACAAGACAGAACACGTACGACGAAGAACATAATAATATAGAAATAACGCCTACAGCGCCACAGTTACCACCCCTACCACATAACCATCCATTATCCCTAGTCCCACGAAATTTTGGAAATTTAGCAATAACACATAATCCAAATTTTAGACCAAACATATCGCAAAGTCCCATACAACATATAATGACACATCATTCACAAGATGAAAATACATATGAACAAATTATCGAACAACCCCACACCACCGCTTTTCAATCTCAAAATAATAATTTGTTTAGCCCACGATGAGCCGACAACTTGGATCCCTACACCGCTCAAATTCCCACCCAACCAACCTCAACACTCCAATTACAATAATTCCACGTTTTTCTTTCCCGCCACCCGATTTTCCAACTAATAATATAACATCAGGCATGAATTCAGACACTAATTCAAATATTTCAGTTTTATACTCCATTTCACAACTCAATAACCCTAATATTGAAACCCCTGATGAATTTGCAGACTCTGAACCATCTCCATCCAATAATTTTCAAACCAACCCCTCAATTTTTTCAAAAGCTCCTTTTCAACCAATCCCACCAAATAACCCACTACCATCCATTTCTACACCCTCTTATGCTTCACAAGTCACCCCAACCTACTCTTCATTTCATTCAGACCGATCATCCAATTCTCCAGATATTCCCCAAATCTCCCAAGAACTAGATAATTGTATCACCCTACAACAACAACCATTACACCTTAACACCCCCACTATAAATCAGATTTCTTCCACAATAGAATCCTCAAACCCACCTACCCCTACACCCTCTTCAGCTTATTCTGCATCATTAGCACAATCATCCACTTCCACCTAATCATCAAATAGCACTAATAGAGCTTATCGCATTTTTAAAAGAAAATTCCCAAACCATCCATTCCCAACCAAACCAGGAACAGCCCGTGAATATATTAATCATCCACATCACACTAAAACGAAAGATTTTCTAGCAATCACCTTACCTTCATTTCCACAATATACTTTAAACACCCCTCACGACACTAACGATACACGTAGTTTTGTAGATGAACATGTTTTAATGCCTACACTTCATTGGACATCATATTATCATTTTACTAATCCCCTTTGCCTACCATTATCTAATACTCACAACGATATAGAAAGAAATCAAGATATGCTATATCGACTCACCACACCACTAACACATAGACAATTTACTTATATAGGATATAAAAAGTCACTAAAAACATTCACTGCACCCCGAGCTAACGAATTTACGCTAGAATAATACGATCATAACATCATCCGAACTAACCAAGACCAATTTTTAGATGATGATCGCTTCGCTAACCCACAAATCACAGAAAAAATCTTCATCAAAACACCATATGTATTTACACTCGATATGTTTGATCGAAAATTTGATCACACCATTTCTGAAGCACTAACCGACATGCAAGCTTACGAAAGTTTTGAAGAAAAATTTCAATTATTTTCACTAACCTTCCACTTCCTTGCATCACATGAACGCGATTTGCACTGCTCACACGACATTATGTTACGCACTAAACAAACCCACACATATACATATTATCGTTTCATACAAAATCATTTTGATCTACACACTCCATCAAGACAACCACACCACCGTTTTCAGTTTATTCACTCTAAATACACTTCACCATTTTTTCTTAATTTCACATATTGCATCAAAGATACTAACCTTCACGGTATCCTCCACAATTATGATCCCAAAACCCAAATGTATATATTTTGTCCCATCACGAAGACCCTTAACGCAGAAGAATCCAGACCCTTCCTTATCCCACACGAATTTATCCAACCTATAGAAATCCCAATATTAGAATTCATCCACAACACTAAATACAATCACAAATTATATAATCTCATTCAAAACACACCTTATGAGTTTGCAGTTGGCACTGAAGAACTAAAAACTATTAAAGCACTTCAATTGCTTTGGCCACTGCTTCAAACTAAAAACATCATTCGCATACTAGCAAAATTACTAACAAACTCCGACATAATACACGACATCTTCCCCCACGGTTTTTTCCCCGACGACTAACAAGTAAGTATAATGTATACATACTCTTCACTAATAAATTTATATTAAAATTAACCATTCTTTATTCATGTCTCATTTAGATTTTTAGTCTTCATCCCAAGATCATCTGCAAAAAACAGAGAAGAAAAATAAAAAATAAAAAACTTGTTAAAATTCTTCTAAAACTCTATTAATATTTTGCACTAGATAAATATAAAAAAATTCATACCAATGTAGTAAATTAATTTATAAATTGTTTCCCCAAAAGCAGTAATTTTAATAATGATGAAAATTTGTAACTTAAATTTTCCCCAAAACTAGCAGTAAAATTAAAATTCTATGTAGTAAATTGATAAAACAAAAGTGCAGTACTAACCTTTTGATATTTCCATTCACTCGCACAAAAATTCTATCCAAACTCGCACAGCTCGCCCACGAAGAATTGTTTAAATAATGAATTTCAGTTTCAAGTTTTCACACTCAACAACTCTAACACACGATAACAAGTTTCAAGATTTCCTTTAACCCGGTTGGAAAGGAATTATATACTAAACAAAACTAACCAACGCAGCTTACTAAACACCACAAATCATAGAATAACAGCATGACTAAGAAAAGAAAATCAACGGTACCCAAACCGGATTAACCCAGTTTAAAACTGGATAATTTATTCTTTTGAAGACTATTATAAAGTTTAAGAAAGGAATAATAAAACACAAAAAAGTCGAAAGACAAACCCATACCAAAAACAATTTGATTTTTGAAAAAAGGACACAACCAACGAAACATAAGAAAAACCACCACAAACCCGACATAAAACGTTATCACATAACAGGACCTCTCACAGAAACCGCACGAAATCATACTCCCACTCCTGGCCCAACCCACCAGAGAGGACGTCCTGACCATGCTCTATAGCCGGCCTAACCCACCGCGCTACATACACGCTTTGTGACCACACTTCTATTTTTAATAAGAGGTACTCAAGGGTGAGTAACTCTTCAAAATAATCGAACTAAAACAAAAAGCTTTTGTGAAAACAACTAACCAAAATCATAATTAAAACACTGAACTAATAAAAATTTTATAAAATGTAAATTATACCTTGCAGTATATAGATCAGCATACAACAACAAAGACGAACATCCAAAGACAAAATGACCCCACTTCACTCGAAAAAGAATGGCCAACCACAACCAATATGCCGTCCACAATCACAACTCCGTCCACAGAGGATTTAGAGTAACGACTTGACTTCGCAGAAAAGGACTTCATTGAACTAGACCAATGACCACCTCGATGTTCAAGTATACGTACAGATCCGAGTAACAAGGCATCCCCTCCACGCACAATCTCCACGCCATTCCCAGACGAGGTCGAACACAAAAGAAGTTCTCTACATAAAACAGAAAAACCCGTCATAGCAAACCATTCTGAAATCAGATTGATTTCGTTGGGAAACACAGTCGTTGTCACAAGAAAACACAACGACTGATATCCATCATTCCAGCGTCCTGGAACTTCTCTAACAAGAGAAACCGGATAAGAATATGATGTTCGCCAAATACCAACGTCCATCATCCATCCTTTGAATTGCAGAAAGACAATTCTAAAAAACTCTGTAAAACCCGGATGGGTGGAACCTGATCTAAACTATATTTTATGATTGGATAAATTAGATATTTTACCACTGTAAAGTATTTAATATTAACCAATCATGATCCATCTAACTAACAACCCACTTATTTGTAAGTGCTGAAATTACTTGTAATTTCAGCACCAGAGAGATTTGAATTTAACTTAGAAATTAGTTGCCTCTCCAAGAGAACTTCAGCAGCCGCAATAAACCAGTATACCCTAGATCTATTGAGCCTAGCAGAGACTAGTTAAACAACCTGAGACTAGATAATATAAGAGTAAGATTAGGATCGGTATTAGACTAAGAAGTTGCACGAATCTATCCGGCCGAAAATAAGATAGCGTGACGAGCAGACGGTGTACCCTATCCGAAATTACTCTATGAGTTAACCACATCGGTTCTAACTCAATTTCCAAGAAGCTTGTCTTTCCTTTTTTGAAAGAAAAACGGCTCTTTTGCAAAACGGCCTGGTAAAAAATTGCAGGTGGGGGAAAAGGAAAAAGAGTCAGAAAAACTATAACTTTGGGTCTATAGTGAAAAAAAAAGCCCAAAATCAATAATTGATGGAGGCGTTTCATTATTTAGGCTTTTATTTCCTGGTCAAAAATCGCGACCGCATTGCATTCTCGATCAGTTTTTGAGCGAATATTCGGTTTATGTGAGGTCGATGTGAAAACTGTCGCAAGCACTTGACTCGATTAAAATGGTGGTGATTTTTATGGCTTCATTTCTTACGATCGGATCGAAAAGAATTGAGGTAAGTTATTGCTTCAACTGAGTTATACGCGAATCGTTAAAATAGCACGTGAATCAAAAATACCATCATGCCTCTAAACAAAACGAAAAAAAAACTTCGAACAAAGTATTTACATTGTGAAGACAAAATGCTATCGCGTTATAAAAAACAATTTATCAAATCCTTAAAAGCTTAACAAAGTAAAAAATAGAATTAATGCTTTTATTATAGTCACACTTTTGACAAAACTTTAAGGACTTTTGTCGTCTTGTACAGTTTTAGTTAAGAAAGCTAAATGCTTGTCGCTAACATATATTCATTCTTCGTTCTACTTTCATTCCACTTCTATGGCTTTGGGTGAAGAATCTGAAGTTACGCTGAAAACCCACTCAGATGAAAGAAAAACCGAAGCTCTCTCAATCCAACCCAATTTGTCCACTACAGCAGCATATTATACTGGAAGTTTCGCGCCCAAACCATCAGACTCCGAACCCGAACACTCGAAACGTGGAAAAGCTTTAGTTAAAAGCCTTGATCGAGAAAATACTATTTTAATTCAAAAGAACCCAAAGTCGAAAATAAAGTTGGTAGTCTTAGATAAATACAAACAGATGATACAGAATAACTCAAATAAAAGTTCCAGAATTCCTATACCAGGTGCACAGCCGGTTAGATTAAGTAATCAATCTTCAATTCTTGCCCCGAATAGTTCAGAAGTTGACCCTTTAGTGAAAGGAGGCGAGCTGCCAAATTTGACCTTCAGCGTTTCCCAATTCAACCCAAAACAGCAAAAGTATTCCATAACAGACACTGCCAACTTCAAACCTCGTGCATCGTCGCTGTCTAACCGAGTTCAACTGAGCGACACACGAAATAGAAATTATCACAATTTGATAGCGAGAAAACGCAATTCGAAGTCGGACCCGAGCCTCATGGGATCCTCAGGCTCTGTTGAAAACTCGCAAGAAATCAACGAAGAAGAAAAACAACATCAAGCTGTGGATAACTCTTCCAAAAACGGATCCAATCATATCGAGTTTCCTGAAGAGATGGACGTTTTGTCTGATTCGATCGTGGCATCAAAGCCCCCCAAAAGTGACAGACGCAACAAATCGTCAACTTCGCGTTCCCATCATGATTCAAAGTCCAGAACAAAGTCGAACACGGGACTTCATCGGGGAATCACAATGGCCGCCGCACAAAAGAATCCGAACGCGGACGAGCGGCAAGATACAAAGAAACGTCGTTCTACGCCTCTCGGATCCAGATCGTTCGCAAATGAGGAGTCACGCTCGGGCGATCTGATCAAATCACAAGACGACACGTCATTGAGGATGTCTTCGAACTCATCCAAGACTAAACATTTGAACTCGAGTGATCGGGAAAGCAGAGATCGATCGAAATCTCAGTCGGATTTCAGCCGAAAGACGAATGGCCAGTCGCATACTCGGCTGCACGCGAACGAAAAGTATGTAAGTCCATATGAAAAAGGACGAAGTGCGCATTCAAGAGAGCCAACATTGAATAAACTAGGACATCGATCGGCTAAACGGGACACTCCTAACGCTTCGGCTTCGAGCGACGTCATTGTTGCAAGCTCAAGGAGAAACTCTCGTTTGAATTTCTCCGAGCCATTTGAAATTAACTGCGGAGTTGAAAATCACGATTCGGATGCTTCCAAAAAGGGATCGAAAAGCCGAGGAAAAAGAGAAGTTAGCAGCCCCATCGTTCTTTCCAGTGCCAGAGACGGTAAAGAGGAAAACAATTCTGGTAAATTCGGCTGTTTTCCAGCATCTCACCTCACCCCCTCGAAAATCACAAAATGGCTCTTCTTCCGTTGTTTCCCCCACAAGATAAAGACACCAATCTTGGTGTGTTTTTATGGCTTTTCAGGGTTCTGTAAAAAGACAAAATGTGTTTGAAAGGGCACTCAACTCACATACCATTTGTTTTACTATTGAGCGTGAACAAAACATAAAAATATAATACATGCAGCTTGGACGTAAACGGTAGAAAGAGCTCACAAAATAAATTGGATCTTTCCACACCCCACCCTTCCTCATATTTCAAACTTTCCATTTTTATAATTGTTCTGCATGTTACACTAGTGGACACAATTAAACGCAAATTCAGGTTTTTACTATCTAAAAAGCCTGTTTTCAATGTGCATTTTGGACAACATCGATTTTCAGCTAAATTTTTACATAGACCAAGAGCAAATTATTAAAGCTACCTCTATGAAAGTATCAAAAATTGGTTTCAGAGATAATCCGGGTATGAAAACGCCAGATTTCCTCATCTGCTTTAAGTTTTGTTTCGTAGTGAACTCTTTCTCGAATATGCGGCTCTTTTCCAGTTCCATCTTTAATTTTTTCTGAAATTCAAAGGATAAAGTCGATGTGAAATGAGTTTTCATGTTGAAAACTGCATCCAAACGTAACTTTGCAATTTATTTTGTAATTTTAAGAGGGATGTGGCAAATTGGAAAAGAGCCGAATAAGCGGAGTAAAAAATTAAAAATGTTCATAAAAAGTGAAACATTCTCAGCGAAAAAATTGAAATAATCAGTGTGAAAACTTTACTTAACTCGACTGTTTTTTACTCTTTCACGCGAAGTAAAAAACTTAGTGCAGACGATGAAATCTGGCGTTTTCATACCCGGATTACATTGGTCAGTCTCTGAAACCAAACTTTGATACTTTCATAGAAGGTAGCTTTGATCATTTGCTCTTGTACTCTTGGTCTTTGTAACAATTTTGTTCAAAATGTACATTGAAAACTGGCTTTTTAGAGAATAAATACCGGAACTTGCGTTTATTTTTGTCCACTATTGTATAGGGTGTAAATTCGTGATATTACAATGTAAAGTATAAACAAGACTGCTCGTATCAGGGCGAAGCCCTGAAAGTTCCGACTGCCTTTTAACGTTTATGGAGCAGTAATAACATAAGCAACGTATAAAATCAATGAATTTTTTTTTTTTTAATTTGAAAACTTTTTGATGAAAATCATCCCCCCACACGCCATTGAAAGTACAAAACAATATATTTCGCTTCTTGTAACAAATCAATTATGGCAAATAGGCTTCTGTAAACAATTTGAATCAATTTCTAGTTCTACGACGGATTAATTCTCCGCTTACGCGTTAATAGCGCGAATTATATCGCGCGTTAATTGTCCCAAATTGGTCAAAATGGCCAAAATGGCAATCTTTAAACCCTCATAACTGTACGAAAAATGATCACAGGTAAAACATCTTTTCAAATTTGAGCTCAGGACAACAATAGCTTTCGAATGATATAAAAAATGTCCGTCAAAAATGGCTAGTTAAAAAGTCGAAATTTGTCTGAAGAAAAAAAAACCCACCCCGAGCACAAATATTCCGTTACATTCGTATCGAAAGTCAGAACAATAACAAATCTGCTCGCAATTGTTGGTTTGTTCACAATGCAAAATTTTGTTGCATTATGACAACGTTAAAATTGTTTTTCATATTCTCAAACTCAAATATGGATGCGGAAAGTCGAAAAGAGCCAATAATTTTGTCAGATCTCTCCAACTACTCCCCTTTGCGAAAGCGAGAGGTTAATTATTAGGTACAGAACTTACATATGCTTAACCACTGAATTCATGTTCCGACTTGCGATACAAAAGTAACGGAATATTTGTGCTTGGGATGGGTTTTTTTTCTTCAGACAAATTTGTTTTTAACTAGCCATTTTTGACGAAAATTTTTTTTATCATTCAAAAGTATTGTTGTCTTGAGCTTAAATTTGAAAAGATATTTCACCTGTGATCATTTTTTGTAGGGTTATGGGGGTTTAAAGATTGCCATTTTGACCAATTTGGGGCAATTAACGCGCGATATATTTCGCGCTATTAACGCGCAAGCGGAGATTTATTCCGTCTTAGAAATTGTTCCAAATTGGTTGAAAGAAGCTTATTTGCCATAAATGATTTGTTATAAGGAGCGAAATCTATTCTTTTGTACTTTATATGGCGTGTGGGGGGATGATTTTTATTTAAAAAATTCAAATTTTTGAATAATTTTCTTTTTTCATTTTATTTTATTAGCTTTATTTTTATTAATGTTATTACTGCCCCATAAACCTTAAAAGGCAGTCGGAACATTCAGGGCTTCGCCCTGATACGAGCAATATTGTTTCTTTGTAGGGATGACAATTCGTTACTTGGTATCCTAGTCGGGAGGGGAATAGTATAAGAGATCCAATTTGTCTAAAAGTTTTGATACGGCAAATCGCATAAGAAACATTTAGTTCTTCAAATCTGCTTACTTGTTCACGCTTTGTTTTTATTTTTGAATCATTGAGGGTCACTGTAAAAATGCTTTGGTAAATTAGATTTCAGAGAAAATAAGTTGGGTAAGGGGGCTGGAAAAGAGCCGTAATTTTGCTCAAGAAAATGAGGATTGTAAAGTGACGGTGCGTAGTACAGGTGTACTGAGCAATAGACTTGAAAAGAGAGAGAGAGGAGAGAATAAAAATAAACAGCTTTGTGACGGCGACGCCAAGGTAAATAATAATGAAAATATAAACCAAAGCAGCATAGTGACTATGGAAGTATTTTCAAAAGGAAAAGCTTTTAATGAAAGCAACGGAATCAGCAGAGACATTCCAACTAAATGCAGCTCAAATGCGGTAGCAACAAACAACGAAACCAGTAGTGAAAAACAGAGGAGCGAACAACATAATAAAGACACGGTACAAAATCAACGACCGGAAGATGTTTTGAATTCGACTGAAAACGACCGAGTCAAGACAACAAGATTAAGACCGGCCAAAGAACACAGCCAGGAAGATCAGGCGGCAAACTGCAAAGGCGCCCAGAATAAGACACACTTGAACATCCCCGGGAACGAGAGGGTGGGAAGTGACAAGCCGAATATGCATTCACACAATTCGAGGGCTTCTGTCCTTTCTAAGTCGCCTCCTAGAAGCAGAGGCCCCAGCAACTCAAGATCAGTTAGATCAACTAGTGGTAAGAGGCCAGTCATAAAAGCCACACCTATAGCTCAAGCTGCCCAAATACACCCAAAACAAGTAGCCTCCAATCCTTCAACTGGATCCACCATGAAGGGCACTGGAGGTTATGCAAAACGAGGCAAGCCAAGGGTTAGTACGACTGTAAAGCCGTCCCAGGAAGCCGAAAAGAAATCTGCCTCGGCTAAGAAAAAGCGAGAAGATGCAAATGGCGAGACGTTTTCAGACGGTACTGATAAAGAAGACAACGAGGAGCATTACGAAGTTCGCCCGCCACTGCCTTCGAATGCCAGAATCCCCCCTGTTATCACGGACCCCTCCGTCCACCCTTACGACGCAACTGAAAAATGTATCAAATCTCTGGCCAAACACCCTCTCGATATCGATTTCGGCGCCTGGCATCGAAATGTACTACCGACGTTGCCGCCGTTGGTTAGGAACCCGCAGTCGGGTAGGAGATACATTGAGCTGCCGAACCAATTCTACGCCTGCAGAGGAAATAACACAATCTTAGTCGAGAATCACTTCGTGAAACACATGCAATGGACGAGAACGGAGGAGAGAGGGCCTAATTACAAGTTCAAGTGGATGCAATGTGTGAACCAAATTGACTACGACGAGTTTCGAGACTCGGAACAAGTAGCCAATCATATCAGTAACATATCATGTTTAACTACCAAAATTGGCCTCGTTGAAAGTTTGCGAGCTTACGAGCGACATCTGCAACAAAAAGTTGAGCGAAAACCAAATACTGCAGCAAACAATGATTTGAAAATGGTTGATTTTTTCAACGAAACTTTTAAACTAAATAACAAGACAGAAAACGCAGCTTTCAGGGAAACGTATAAGGCGGGCGAAACGTGGATTTGCAAGCCGAACGGATTGAATCAAGGCATTGGGATTTTTCTGATGCGAAGTTTAGAAGATCTGGATGCTAAATTAAACGATCTGAATAGCAGCAAGAAGTCTTCACCCTACAAACAACGGAGTCATAACTATGATAGAATGATTCAAAGATACATTGAACATCCGTTGTTGCTGGATAATAAGAAGATTGACATCCGAGCTTACATGCTGATAGCATCGACTGCGCCCTTCGTGGTGCTCTATCACCCCGGCTATCTGCGACTGTGCATCGACGACTACAAATTAGACGACAACAGTTTAATCGGCCACTTGAACAACCAGTACATCCAGAAAAAAGATCCCAGGTACAAGAAGTTGAAAGACGACACAGTTTGGAGTTACGAAAGAGCCAATGACTACATAAACGAACACTACATGAAGTCGAAAGGCATCGAAGAAGATTGGTGGTACAAAGTGTTCGAAAAGCAAGCTAAGCGAATCATGCTCCACTGCTTCCAAGCTGTTAAATGTACTTTGAAGAGCCGCATCGGAACTTTCGACTTACTCGGATTCGACTTTATGATCGACGAAAACATGAAAGTTTACCTGATTGAAATCAATGTGAACCCTGCTCTGGCTACTAACTGTCAAGTTCTGGACCAAGTCATTCCGCCGATGGTGCACGAATCAATTGACGTAGTCATGGAAATCTGGGAAAAAGCGAGACGAGGACTTGCTGTCAGTCCGATTCAAAGTAGACAGAATATGGAAATACTCTACAACGAGGCTATGCAGAGCAAGTATCGACGGAGCCAGCATTCGGCTAAGATGGCAGCCAACTTCAGCAATGCTTCCAACTCCACTAACCCAAACAGTTCCACCGCCAGCAAAGAAAGCAACAACTCGACTAACTCGCAAAACAAATCAGCATCCAGGTTCAAATCCCAATCACCCAATAGAGACAATTCGCTTTCAGCAGGCTAAAAACACACTGCATTTATTTTTATATTGAACGCTACCTAATAAAAATCTATAAAAAATGATTTGACCCTTACTTTTTAATAGTATGTTACTTTTAGTATTATATCAAATCTTTTATATTAAAAATTCAATTTATAAAACAAAAAAAAAGTATTACATGAAAGAAAAATTCTGGATAATCTATTTTTTTCTAGACCGAGGTTGATTTTTCCGGGCAATTTAAAGTGCTGCAAAAGAATATCTTTAATTGGTGGCAGGACAATCTACCCTATTCCAAACTACCCTATACCATTCTACCCTATGCCATTATATCCTACATACCAATCTACCCTATGCCAATCTACCCTATACTAATCTACCCTATACTAATCTGCCCTATATACCATAATGAGGTATCATAATGTAATCTTTCAAAGTCCTAATTAGAATCGGAAAGATACAGCACGTGTTAATTCATTTGAGTCTAAATTTTTGGACTCAATTTGAGTCTTTAACAAAGATTCTATTTTAACCTATTTGTATTCTCTCGCGCAATTAAGTCATTCCTAACTCAGTTTATTTTAACAAACTTTGTGAATTTTTCAAAAATTCAATTTAATTTCTAAAAAACATACACTTTTTGAGGTTCCCGTGGCCGTAGAGGGCTGAAATTTTGGGAGGTAATAGAGGCCAATACCAAAAGAATTTTACCTTCTCCCTCACCCCGCCCCCCAGTACCGCCTTGGCCTGGTACTGGGGGGTCTACCCCTCCTTTTGTGATCAACTAGTCAAACCCTCAGTAATTTTCGAATTTCATTCAAAATTTGACTTCTTGGTGATTTGATCTTTCGACCTTTTGATTTTCAAACACAGGCATTATCCGCTACGCTATGTCGACTTGATGTGATATGACTTTTGTTTGTTTAAGAAATAGCCGCAACGCATTTCTATAGCAACATTGGATTAAAATTTCTGTTCGTTCATGCTTTGAACTCATTTCCATTTTGAACGCGCAAGTTTTACGTTGCTTTGATATTTTGTTCACGTGCGTCAATTATTCTTTGATCATAATTAATGGTTCTTTGATTTGTTCGGAAACATACTGTTTCGGATTCTTCAAGAGGATGGGGTAAGTTTCAATTGCTTTAATTATAGGGTAGAATGGTATAGGGTAGATTGGTATAGGGTAGATTGGTATGTAGGATAGAATAGTATAGGGTAGATTAGCATAGGGTAGATTGGAATAGGGTAGAATGTCATGGAACCCTTTAATTAATTCTTCGATGAACAATGGAGACTTTTTAAGAAAAGCACTAGGGCTTGCGACTATTTTTTCTTCCCTTCTATTTTTTTGACGTTCAATCATGTTTACTTCTGAGAAAACTAATCTGTAATTGTTCTGCAGGGAAACCAATCAAAAAAGACAGTTTTAATTTTGTGACCCAGGAAACCAATTTAAGCGAAAAAACGCAAACAACCCGAAACAATTTCGCCAGAGAAAAGAAGGACAAAAAATACGTTGTATTATAAAATCTCAAATTACTCAAAAACAGCGCAATCAAAAAGGATTTTTCTGTTCGTCACAAAATCTATCACAGTTGTAAAAAAGAAAACAGTTAAGCTGAAAAAAATTTGAAAGACAACATATTTCGACACAGAAAATGGTTCAAACGAGAGGATTAGATAATCCATGCAACTAGACAACTTGTCAAGCACTTTTTACGCATGTTCTAAGAATTTGCAGTTGATGATACAAAAATCGAATAAAAACCAACAAATATTCAAAAAAGTAGTAAGCATTAAAACTCTTAATTTCAGTGCTTCAACTCCCGATGCAGGCAAGGTTGGCACACAAATCATCAAAATTGTTATCTTCAATAATGCAAAAAGCGAGGATGACACACGTCTAAGAAAAACATACAAAAAACTACTTTCAAAAGTATGGGCCTTTCAGAAGGAGTCTTTCAAAAAATCATAATCCCTGCTTTTGAGCTGAGGAAGCGAATCTTTGACTCTTTAAATAAAAAAGATGGATTTTTTTTTTCATTTGTTGTCCAATACTGACATCATAAAATCAAAAGGTAAAAAAAGAAAAAATTGCATTTATCAGAAGTTCTTTTTTGACATCAATCAACAGCAAAATATGGTAGAAAATCAAAAACAAAATTTCAGAAGCCACTAAGACAGATCTTCTAACAAATTGATTTTTGAAAATTTGAAAACCAAAACAAACTATTGACTTTTACAAGATCAGCGATGTTAAAAATAAAAAGACTGCTCGTATCAGGGCGAAGCCCTGAATGTTCCGACTGCCTTTTGAGGTTTTATGGAGCAGTAATAACATTAAAAAAATAAATGAAATAAAATAAAATGAAACTTTTTTTTTCTAAAATTTGAATTTGTTTTTAAATCATCCCCCCACACACCATATAAAGTACAAAAGGATAGATTTCGCTCCTTGTAACAAATCAATTATGGCAATTAAGCTTCTTTCAACCAATTTGGAACAATTTTAAGACGGATTAAATCTCCGCTTACGCGTTAATGGTGCGAACTATATCGCTCGTTAATTTGTCCCAAATTGGTCAAAATGGCCAAAATGGCATTCTTTAAACCCTCATAACTTTACGAAAAATTATCACAGGTGAAAATATGGTAGAAAATCAAAAACAAAATTTCAGAAGCCACTAAGATAGATCTTCTAACAAATTGATTTTTGAAAATTTGAAAACGAAAACAAACTATTGACTTTTACAAGATCAGCGATGTTAAAAATAAAAAGACTGCTCGTATCAGGGCGAAGCCTTGAATGTTCCGACTGCCTTTTGAGGTTTTATGGAGCAGTAATAACATTAAAAAAATAAATGAAATAAAGTAAAATGAAACTTTTTTTTTCTAAATTTTGAATTTGTTTTTAAATCATCCCCCCACACACCATATAAAGTACAAAAGAATAGATTTCGCTCCTTGTAACAAATCAATTATGGCAATTAAGCTTCTTTCAACCAATTTGGAACAATTTTAAGACGGATTAAAACTCCGCTTACGCGTTAATGGTGCGAACTATATCGCTCGTTAATTTGTCCCAAATTGGTCAAAATGGCCAAGATGGCATTCTTTAAACCCTCATAACTTTACGAAAAATTATCACAGGTGAAAATATTTTTTCAAATTTAAGCTCAAGACAACAATAGCTTTTGAATGATATAAAAAAATTCCATCAAAAATGGCTAGTTTAAAAGTCGAAATTTGTCTGAAGAAAAAAAACCCACCCGAGCTCAAATTTTTCCGTTACTTTTCTATCGAAAGTCGGAACAAAAAAAAAACAAATATTACTTTCTCAAAATTTAAGAAAAATTACCGCGCCAAAAAATAAGAAATTTTCAATTAGCATCCTCCAAAATATTATTAAAATGATGGCTTAGTTTAAATCTGCGCATAAACAGCCTATCATGAGAAAAATGTTTCGCAATGTATTGACCCGCAGTGAACACTCATGGATTGTAATCGCTTATACTCGAAATCTGAGCCAGGGAATTAATCCATTATAGATGTATTGTTCAGACTACAATACTCATTATGTAGTGTTCAGACCACGAAATCGCTTTGCTTGGTTGTAACATTTCCAAGCTCAAAAAAGTTGCTGAGTTTTTGTTCCGACTTTCGATACGAAAGTAACGGAATATTTGTGCTCGGGGTGGGTTTTTTTTTCTTCAGACAAATTTCGACTTTTTAACTAGCCATTTTTGACGGAATTTCTTTATATCCTTCAAAAAGTATTGTTGTCCTGAGCTTAAATTTGAAAAGATATTTCACTTGTGATCATTTTTCGTAAAGTTATGGGGGTTTTAAGATTGCCAGTTTGGCCAATTTGGGACAATTAACGAGCGTTATATTTTGCGCTATTAACGCGTAAGCGGAGATTTAATCCGTCTTTGAAATCCTTCGAAATTGGTTAAGAAGCTTATTTGCCATAATTGATTTGTTACAAGGAGCGAAATTTATCCTTTTGTACTTAATATGGCGTGTGGGTGATGATTTTCACAAAAAAAATTCAAATTTTAGAAAAAAAAATTTTCATTTTATTTTGTTACATTTTATTTTTATAGGTTATTACTGCTCCTTAAACATTAAAAGGCAGTCGGAACATTCAGCGAGAAATTTCTATTACTAATTTAAACTTTCGATACGTCTTCTCGATTCTCAGTCTAAAAAAATGGACAAAATTTTCTTTTTTTTTGAAAACCCTCCCCCCTCGAGAAAATCTTGGATCCGTCCCTGTTCTCAGTATTGAGAAAATTCAGTTTGAAGCGCTTGTTCCGTTTGTCGACGAAAGCGCGCAATTTTTTTGATAGGGGTGGTTTTTTAGTATATTTCGATTTTGTACCAAATATTTTTGATTGTTTTTTTTGTGTCATCTGAAAGATATTGTTTTCCTGAGCTCAAATTTAAAAAGACATTTCACCTGTGATTATTTTTTTATAAAATAATGGGGGTATGAAAACTGTTTACTTGACCAATTTGCGATAGTCAATGGGCGATATATTGAGATCTTATAACACGCGTTAGCGGATTAATGGGTTCCATTGAAGCATTGAAGCAAATTCTTTGGTCGTAAAATTAGGATACAAGACGCTAAACTTTGAAAACATTTCAAGGTTTCTTTTTGCAAAAAAAACGTGGTCAAAACTTTCCGAGTGACCAGCTATTCTTGTGTCCATCCTCATAAAGGTCAAAATTCTCTTATTCAAGTCAGTTTTATTCATTGCTCAATTCAATGGCAGATCTTTGAGAATGGGACTCCATGACAATCTACTCCATTTCAATCCACCCTAAGTCATTCTACCCTATACTAATTTACCCTATAATCCAATCTACACTATGCTATGCACTCTAGCCTATATTCGATTAATAGTTCAGTTGGTCAGAGACAACTGAGCTCTTTATCTGGTTTTGAAATTGGCGAAAGAGGCTACGCGCGCGTTGTCGCTTCGCCGTGATAACCGGCCCAAATTTATCCAAGTTCTACCTTCTGTTGGCAAGCTCACAACACGTTGCTCACAACAGAACTCACAAAAATATGCAATCTGTTCTGGTGCATTATGGAAAAGATGATAAGCACTTACAAAAAGTCAGGATTGAAAATAATGAAGTAAAGCAAAGGCTTGCAACATCGACTATCATTAAAATTTTGTTGAAATTTTTTTATTAGAAAAAAGATTTTTGAGAAAAACATATGCCAAAGAATATTTCTTTGGAAACAAAATATGGGAGCTCCGCTATTAGTATTAGTATCAATCTTACTGTTTCTAGTTACGGCTGCTCATTTTATTAAAACTCATCATCATAAAAATTATTTATTTTAATGAAGTAATTAAAATGAAAAGACTTCCCTTTACTGTTTTAAATTCAAAGTTAGTTCAGGTGAAATTGTGATTGGCCAAGAAAAACAAAGCTAAACTATTTCATTTGAAGTGGTTCATTAAAAGTAATTATGTTTATGGTGAGCGTCAAAAAACAGGCAGCGGCTGATTAAAGAGAATGGAAACGGATGGGAAGCTGTCAGCAGATAGGGAGGAGATGGTCTCCTTCCTGTGGATTGTGAGGGCCTGGCTGCTGGACTGCAGTGCACATGGGGTTCCCAGAGTGATAGCGACCACTAACTTCAAACGGAAGCTGTTCTGGATTTGGGCTGTCACCATCAGTGCCTGTGTTCTAATGTGGCAGATAGGAAGGCTCTTTTTCTGATCACAACCCCTCCCCACCCTTTCTTGCCCTCACATAACACACCAATCAGTTAAATGGGGTAACGAGTGGTTTTATAAGGTGCTATAAAGTCCAATCAAATACACCAAACTTGCAATAGCCTAATTAGTGAGCACATGCAAATTTTTATAATGATTGGACGTTGTCAGCCAAAGTTTCTTCAAAATTCGTAGGTGAAAAAGGGCGAAGTGAGGGGGGGGGGGGGGGCAGAGAAAAAAGAGTCTTCAGGGACCATGTGGGATGATGTCAGCAGCCATCCAATCACTGTCAACTTGCAGGTGCTGCACAGACTTGAGCTCAACTTCCCAGCTGTCACAATTTGCAACGCAAACAAACTCAAAAAGTCGGAGTTGGAGCAATTCGTAGTGGAAAATGCAGAGCGAGATGACAGTTCAGCCTCGCCGTATTTTACTGGACTCCAAAAAGCCTTAATTTTTTCTAATAAGGAAGCTGTTGGTCTTCGATTAGTTTACGAAAAAATGGCAATAGTTCGTAATTCCAATGAAAGCAGCAGAAATTTGAGTGGTGAATGCAGAGCTGACAGAAATGATTTGGGAATAGTTGAGGAGAAAGGATGCAAGTTTGGTGATTCTGCCGCAGACCAAGTAGAAGATGGGGATGGATGCGACGACAGACTGAGAGTGTCTCCCAACAACCAGTTACAATGTGAGGACGGTACCTGTGTGTCTCAAGCGGATGTGTGTGATGGGAGACTAGACTGCTTGGATGGGTCGGATGAATCAACCGAGCTGTGTGGAAAGTGTCCCACTTCAAAGTATGAGTGCAAAAGTGGCATGTGCATCGATCCTCAGTTGAAGTGAGTTGGAAGCCAACCCCCGCCCCCCGCCCCGTATTCAACCAAAATATTACGCCGCATTTAGGAAAGTTTTATGCGTTACATGGACTTTATGAATTTTTTGGATCAACCAAGTAAAGAAAGTTGATTATAGAAAAATAAACATAATCTACTGCTTTTTTCAGCTACACTTTTTCAATAGCAGCCTCTAGTATTATAATTGGAGAAAACAAATGCTATTTCAACCGAAACTCACTTACATTAAGTCAAAAACACTCACTGACTGATACTTACTGAGTTATGACCTTTCGTCTGTACTCATAGAGTAATTTTAGATAAGGTACACCGTCTGTTCGTCACGCAATCTTAGTTTCGGCCGGATAGATTCGTGCAACTTCTTAGTCTAATACCAATCTGAATCTTACTCTTATATCTCCTAGTCTTGATAGATCTAGTGTATACTGGTTTTCGCGAGTTAGTTCTTGGAGTTTATCCAGAAGGAGAACAATTGTAGTCTAAGATTTATTCAAATTGTTCTGGTGCTGAAACTACAAGTAGTTTCAGCACTTACAAATAAGTGTCAATGTTAAAGATGGAAAATGATTGGTTAATTAGTAATATTTTATAGTGGTAATTTTATCAATAATAAAATTGGACAAAAGCACTAGTTTAGAACTCGTTCCACCCATCCGGGGTTTAGAGAGTTTTTTTGTTTAATGTATTGAAGGATGGGTGATGTAGTTTCCTTTGAAAGTTTCACAGTGACTTCCTGAAGAGGGGAGAGATGTAGTTGTTAGTGTAGATGGAAAAAAATTGTTTTGTTCGTGTTCCATAATGGGTCTTTTTATTCGTGGGTAGTCTTGGGTGATAGTGTCAAGACTTCTGATCGACGCAATGATTTATTGATTTCATTAAGCTGAGACTACGTGCAGGGTGAAGTTTGACTTTTCTGTGTGAAGTGCCAAGTGACTAGGATCTGTATGTGAATTCGAGATGGCCATTGGTCTGGTTCAATGGGTTTCCTTTGCTGCGATGTTGAGTCCATACTTAAAATCCTTTGAGGGTAGTGACTCCGGCAACAAAACAAATAGATTTGCCATTCCAGAGTTGGAATGTAGTCGAGTTGTCATCTCCTTTGGTCCTCGTTCCTTGAGCTCTAAGAAACCTTTACATATTGCCTTTATATATTTACATCTTGTTAGTTAAGTTTTTTTTTTAGTTTTGATTTATTATTAGTTATTATCGCAAAAGCATTTTTATTTCAGTTCTGTTATTTTAAAAAGTTGCTCACCCTGGAACCACTTTTATGAAAAATAAAGTATCGGAGTCGTAGTGCATGTTGAGGGCATGTACTTCCAGCGACGTCTTTCTGGTAGGTGAGGCCAGAGTGGGCTATATTTTTATGGTCTCTTGTGCAGAGTCTCTTTATATATTCAACCTTTTGATATTTTCATTTCGTGTTTTTCTTTGTTGTTTTGGTTTTGTCTTTTTCTCAAAAGTAGAATAAATTGACTTGGCTTTGTCTTTCGACTTCTTGGATTTTGTTTGGTTTTAATAAAACTTGAAGGTGGCTTTCAAATGAACAATTTATCCAGTTTTGATCTGGGTTTAATCCGGTTCGGGTATCGTGGGACTTTCTTTCTTAGTCATGCTATTAGCTTGTGGTTTTATGGCGTTAGTAAGCTGCGTTGGTTAGTTTAGCTTACTTCCATAACTCCTTCCAACCGGGTTAAGGGAAAGTTTGAAACGTGTAAAAATAAGTTAGAGTTGTTATCAGTGAAAGTTAAAACTTGAAATTCACTATTTAAACATTTCTTCCTGGACGAACTATGCAATTGTGGAAAGAGTGTGTGATTTATGGGCGAGTGAAGAATTTACATTTATAAAAGAAGTGTTTAGTAAAAAGCTTAGTTTTCTTCAATTTTTTTGCAATTTTTTATGAATTTACATTAGAAATATTATTTTACTACCATTGAATTTTAAATTTATGAATATATTGCTTTTGAAGAAAAAACTGCACTACTTCATGAACTATTGAAAAAATTTGTGTTGAAGTTGGGTGGTTAAAGGGATTTTCACGAACTTGGGGGTTGATCCTAAGTAGTATGATGGTATATTTGGAATACTTTGTTGTGAAATTGTTTTTAACGGTGGGGGTACTTTGAATTGTGTAACTGAAAGGGTCTAGAGGATTTGAGAATGGTAATGAGGGTATACTAAAATGAACTCTGGGTGTTGTAAAATTTCTATTTCGTCTGAGATGGATTATTTGTCTATCTATTGTAGATAATTGATTTTGATTTTATTTAAGATTTCTGGTTCTATTAAGGTCTTGTTGGAGAGAAGGATAGATGTTGTATGTTGATTCGTTTTGCGGTTGGCTTAGAGGTGCATGGCTAACTACGGATTTTAAAGATTCTGATAGTAACGCGTGTCTCTCTTCAAATGTTCAGGAGTTTGCTTGAAATGAAATGCGTGTTGATGATTGGGGTTGGTTTATTTGACTAAGCGTTGGTGTTGTTGGAAGTTACAAGGACGTCGTAGTCGGTGGGGTTTGTTGTGTTGTTTGTTAATTGGCAATTTCGAAATGTTCGATTTTTTTTTCTGATGAATAAAATCTATGTAGTTTATAATAGTTTTCTATGAAAATGATTAAGAGGATTGTTGCTAGTTCAAAAGTGATTATTTTCGTTTTTTTACATTTAGATTTGTCAAATTTAGGGAAACTAGAAAGTTGACAAAACTTACTAAAAGAATAAGTATATCTTATTTAGATTGTTGTTGAAATATCGTACCTGAGGAGGTGGTCCGAGGTTTTTGAGAAGTTGAGGTAGACTTTTGTGAGGGAATCAAAAATTACAAAAAAACTGCAAAAATTTATGAGGAGGAGGAGGAATGCTTTAAGGGTGTCTTCGATAAAAAAAATGAAATTTTTGTCTCGGGAAGTCGAACTGTTTGAGAGAGAAGCTTTTGAGAAATGATTCGTTCCGTCGAATTATTTTTTGTTTTCCGAGTCAAAAATTGAGTGTGGTCGGATTGATTTTTCACAGGTGGGTTGGATATGGGCAATTCCTAGTAAGGGCTAGTCTAAAGGCCTAGGAATGAGCTTCCTAGTTTTGTTTTTATTTATTGGATGATTGAGGGTATTCAGGAGTTATATCTCTCTTAGGCTAAATGATCATATCGTATTTTTTTCAGGTTTATTTAATATTTTTCCTTGAAGAAAATGTGAAGAGTAAGTTGAGACTATATTGTTGCCTTTTGTACTGATTGATAGGACACGGTTGTAGCCTTTACATTTTGTTAATTTCAGTTGTGAAATAAAAGCGTGTTGCTTATTTTGGAACTGGAGGTCTTTAAGTTATAGTTTCATATGTGTTTGAAGTGAGCAGTGTGTCGGCTATTGAAAGGGTGTCAGAATAGGGTGATGATTAAAAAGATTCTGATTGACTGAAGTTGAACTAATTTTTTAGGAAAGTAAAGAAGAAATTTGGAAAAGAGAAAAATTTTTTGCTACATTTAAAAAGTTTTAAATGATTAATTAATTGGAAAGTGGTTTCTGAAGTTCAACTTTCTTTAGAATTCAAGATTGTGGGATGAAAGTTTCGTAATCTTTCCGTGGTTGAATTCGGAGTCATGATGATTGTCGTTGTTGAAATTTTTCTTTTGTTTCTTGTGGTAAAAATTTTTCTTCTAGTTTTCGATTTTTTCTATGTTTTTGAGGTAATTGTTTGCTGCTGATTTTTTGAGAATTTGGTTGGAAATTTTCATTTTCTGTATTTTATGATAAAAAATTCATTCCAGAAATTCCCACATTTTTACACAATTTCCCACAATTCTACACATTTTAAGCCGGTCAAAGTAAAAATGGCCTGTTGGGAGGAGAGAAGTTTGCCGCATTTGTAGCACAACTTTTGCAGGCGTTGAATAGGTTTCTATGTTTTCTGCTGGGTATTGTTGTCCCCGTTCGTTTTGATTTCTGTTTTAAGCTTTGGAGCAGTTCTTCTTCCCCAGCCTCTACCAAACGGCGTTTTGATTTCTGTTTTAAGTTTTGCAGCAGTTCTTCTTCCCCAGCTTCTACCAAACGGCGTTTTGATTTCTGTTTTAAGCTTTGGAGCAGTTTTTCTTCCCCAGCCTCTACCAAACGGCGTTTTGATTTCTGTTTTAAGCTTTGGAGCAGTTCTTCTTCCCCAGCCTCTACCAAACGGCGTTTTGATTTCTGTTTTAAGCTTTGGAGCAGTTCTTCTTCCCCAGCTTTTATCAAACGGCGTTTTGATTTCTGTTTTAGGCTTTGGAGCAGTTCTTCTTCCCCAGCTTTTACCAAACGGCGTTTTGATTTCTGTTTTAAGCTTTGGAGCAGTTATTCTTCCCCAGCCTCTACCAAACGGCGTTTTGATTTCTGTTTTAAGCTTTGGAGCAGTTCTTCTTCCCCAGCCTCTACCAAACGGCTTTTGATTTCTGTTTTAAGCTTTGGAGCAGTTCTTCTTCCCCAGCCTCTACCAAACGGCGTTTTGATTTCTTTTTTAAGCTTTGGAGCAGTTCTTCTTCCCCAGCCTCTACCAAACGGCGTTTTGATTTCTGTTTTAAGCTTTGGAGCAGTTCTTCTTCCCCAGCCTCTACCAAACGGCGTTTTGATTTCTGTTTTAGGCTTTGGAGCAGTTCTTCTTCCCCAGCCTCTACAAAACGGCGTTTTGATTTCTGTCTTAAGCTTTGGAGCAGTTATTCTTCCCCAGCCTCTGCCAAACGGCGTTTTGATTTCTGTTTTAAGCTTTGGAGCAGTTCTTCTTCCGCAGCCTCTACCAAACGGCGTTTTAATTTCTGTTTTAAGCTTTGGAGCAGTTCTTCTTCCCCAGCCTCTACCAAACGGCGTTTTGATTTCCGTTTTAACCTTTGGAGCAGTTCTTCTTCCCCAGCCTCTACCAAACGGCGTTTTGATTTCTGTTTTAAGCTTTGGAGCAGTTCTTCTTCCCCAGTCTCTACCAAACGGCGTTTTGATTTCTGTTTTAAGCTTTGGAGCAGTT